TCTATTGTGTTCACAAATTGGATACCAGGACAACCGAATAATGGAAGATCCTCCAATTGTATTAACATACGATATTATGGCCAATGGAATGACGCATCATGCGGCGCCAGGTTCAAATTTATCTGCGAAAAAGCTGTGCAAAATTGAATCCAAAAAGTTGGAATAATAGAATGGATATCTCTGTTCACGAAGTTCAACAAACACAACATAGTTATTTCAAGAAACGGAAATATTTCTCGTATTACCATTTGTTTTTATTATTTAGTAGCTCATTTGTCATACATGAGTGATGAAGTTGATTTAAGGATATCTGCTCGAACCTCAGCAAGAAAGGATAACTGTCAAATTTATTACTAAATTTAAAAAGTCTCAAAATGAATCTTGAAACTGAAATTTTTTCTTGCAACAATTTTCATTTTATACATCTGAATGAATTCAAAGTTCTTTGAAGTCTTAGAAACGGTCTTGTAAAAAGTTGACATTTGTATCCCATAAAAGTACAAAAATAAATACATGTTTAAAGAAATCGACTTTTCTTTTATCTAACCTAAGATACCAATGTTTATTAGCATGATGTGTAATTAGAAGTGATCTGTGATGTTTTCTCAGTAATAGCGAAAGCTTTTTTCACAGTATGTATTATATAGCAATTGAAGTAAACAGAGGAATTAAAGAACCGTACATATAAAAAACGTATAATTTTCTCCAGATGACTGGATACATTTAGTTTTTTATCCTAAAATATATTTGTTGATCAATTTTCAATAGAAAAATGCATAGCTTGGGTTTTTATTCACATTTCACAAAACATTTTTGAGATTTGATAATTTTCCCTATATAATATGATTAACTTTGATGATGAACTTTGAAGAATTACCTTGGACAAATACACGTTAATTTGAGAATTCAGAGACATTTTTGTGAGCATTTTCAATCACTCAATTCCCAATTTTCAGAACCTGAGGATCGGACTACCTTAAAATTTTCAAGGAATTAGGGACTTTGAATTGTAAAGAAAAGGGGGGATAAAGTATTAATAATGTACTCGTTCATTTATAGTATATGTTATCCGTTTTTATTTTAATTGTTTTTTTTAATTAAACCAATATTAAAAACATGGATACACAGAATTTAAATAGTTATATTTTATATATGATCATCATCATTATTATAAATCAAACTGATTAGTTAAAAAGCAGCGATTGAAAACATTGATGTTATGTAAAAATCTGTTCTACTATTTTAAGGATTGGTGATCATTCACTAAGGTCAGATGGCTCGTCTATTGCAGCCAATTTAATAATTAAAAAGAGGTATACACAGGCATAAGCGCTGGATTTTGTCATTAACACACCATTGTTTATATGTATATGTATCTTTCCTATTGTATTAAAAGCTAAACAAATATTGAAAAAATGAATTAGCAATTTAAAAAAAAAAACATTTAGCGGTCTTATTGGCATCTTTCAAGTCAAATGTTTCTGACCGGCCGGCCCCTTATAAATCATTTGCAAAGAACTTATTGGACCATAAGCATTGATTCCCCAGTATAATAATGACACAGAATCGTACCTTTGAGAAGGATATGACAGCAGTTCTGATTGCTGCAATTTCTCAGCATCTAGCATCTGCATAAATAACTTATCTTAGATTATTTAAATCCAGTGCTGAAATCCTAATGTTTTGCCTCTTCATACTGACGTGCACATCTACACACTAGCACGAATAAATCAAAGTCAATGTGCGATTCTCTGTACATCAGAACAGTTATGTGAAACATTTCCTGTTCAATTATGATACAAGGTAATGTAGACTGTTTCGTTGTTCTTTGTACTGTTGAGACAGTACTGAGATCATTATTTCTCAGTTTGGATGTGTTTTTTTTCAATATTATAAATGGTAAGAGGAACGTTTGAAATAACATTGAGCTAAAATGTAGATCATAGTACAGATTCATTTCATTTATTTCAAAATTTATTGATAGAAGAGAGGAGAAAAGAAAAATGAAAAAGGTGAGGATAACAATAATTGATCTCAAAAACTTACAAATCTGCGAATATGACATAAAACACAGACACCTGGAAATTCCAGAGGTGGGATCAGGTCCCTAGGAGAACATTTAACAAAGATTTCTTTTTCTGCCCCGATCTGGATTTCTACTCTCGACCTGCGAAACCTGTCTCCTAGTAATGCATAAGAGAACAGCATGCTGTTCTTTTTGATAGATTAAAAATGTAAAAATCATAAATTTCAATGCTTTAAAAGAAAATACAGATGTGAGTGAATGTAAATTGGTTGTATGTAGTTTTAGGTCCCGTTCACAAATTTTCCACTCATATAGAGACGTAACCATATACCTGTGAAGATTTTCAAATTTAGACCTTTACTCGGTACTCAGGGCCATCGAGTAGTTTGAAACAATAATCCTTCTAACGCGGGGTCTCTGTTTTTAACGTCTCATCCGAAAGACCCGAAACCATCACTTCAAAGTGTCAAGCGCTTGATAAAGGAAAAGTTGTTACTTATTTTTATCGATTTAGAGTTTGAAACCATGACCTTCCGATCATGGAGCGAGCCCTCTCCCGACTGAGCAAACGTGACAGTCGAAATAAGATTGAGTATTTAAACTGGGAATTTAGATTGAATATTCCTTACTAAACAATTGTATGGTAAAACACAGTATATTAATATTGGTTTTGTCATTACAGAGTGTCCAGAGGGTTGGGCAGTATATAATGGGCATTGGTATCTATACGACTAGAGATTTTGGAATGGACACAAGCCAGTTGAGGAAACTTTCTCAGAGAAACTGTTAAAGACATATCAAAAATCCCAAGTTTATCTTTTTATTTTACATTGTATTAATTTTTTTTAGTAGACTTTGATTTTTATGCTAATTGCCAATTTTAAGTTTTTCGAATACCAGGTTTGACTAAGATCAACACACTTTCGTTTAGATACATTTAGAGTTTCTGGTTCCCTGGGGCATACGAAGAATTATTTCTCTTTGTTTTCCATCGCTTTTACTAAGAATTGTTTTTAGGTTAAAGAGCTAAATCCACGAAGGGGCTAAATCGGCCTATTTTTTCAGGAAAATAAAACTGAGGGGAAGAAGAAATTAACAGTAGAAATATTATCCTTGGGTATCAAACTTTAATAGTTTATGCCAATTTTTTTATTTGATGACGTCATATTTGTACAGAAAACGTCTAAACACGTGCACTTTGCTAGTTTTTATCAAAATAAAGCATTTTTTCGGCTTTGGTTCAAATTTTTGCTGTGGCCACACCCTTCGAACAAAATGAAATTTATACCATTGAAAAAAGGATTAAAATATGAATAAATAAAGTATATTTTTATTTTGTTCGAGGGGTGTGGCCACATCGAAATTAATACTTTTCGTTCGATTCAAATATCTTAGCACCAACTCACACAGTGAAAATAGCGGGGATTGCCCTACATTAATAGAAAAGAAAAATGTTCTGTATTGTTTTTGTAAATATTAAAAAGTTTCGAAATGCGATTGTTATATTTATTATAAGTTATTTTGTGTTGTGGTGCAAAAAAATACGAAAAACTCTCGCTAAGCATGACTGCATGTAGATGCAATAATGTGGACATTTTGTGTACTACGTGCCTCAGTCCTGACCCATGACTTTTCCTTCAAGTAGCTGTTCTATATTTAACTCATCATTATGCTGAAATGTTTTTGAAAAAAAAAATAATGTGTTCTTTTTTCCTCTGACAGCCTATTTATTTATGCTTTGAATTTGTTTCCCAACTCTCATCACCATGGTCACTATGTAATCAAAGGGAGATCACCCGAGAAACATGTAGGCTACATCTTTTTTTTTTTCCTGAGTGGCCGTGTCGGAATAGCCTAGAATAATAAACAAATTACATCGGATGCAACTACCACGATAAAGATCCCTCAATGCTCAATGACCCTGAGTGCCGAGTAAAGGTCAAAATTTGAAGCTCTTCACCGGTATATGGTGACGTCTCTATATGAGTGAAAAATTCTCGTAAATCAACATACAATTAATCAATCTTTTCTTCTGGACAGTGAAAAGGAATGTTTTTGAAAAATCATTTTATATTTTAACATACATCACTTATTTTAAACATTTATTTGCTCAACTAAACACATATGAATGCAGAATTATAGAAGAGATATAAGAATACTAATTTTCTTTAGAAGGTACAAATTTACCAATAATCACCTATAAACAGTAACGACTATACTTTAATCAAGATAAGTGCATTAGAAAAGGGAAATAAAAAAAGATGGTTATAAATTCAACATGCTGAGAAAGTAGAATGAAAGGTTAAATGTTTGGACATTCTTAAATAGTAAAACACTTCAGTCTAAATTAAACTCTTTTGATTTTTCTTTCTTTGGTGCACATTATAGATTGTTCGTTTAGTAGACTTTTAAAAAATTATTTAATTGATTTGTTTAAAAAGCAACTTTGATTTTTTTTCTCTTCAGGTGTCTTTATCTAGCCATATCTACTTATTCTGAGGAGTGATGTATATTGACGACCTTATACTTATTCACATGAACATAAACCTAAACATCAGCTAGGCTCCCTTGTGAAAATGTAGCTTAAAGCAACTTTATATTAAAGTTTATCTTGTTTTACTATCAAAGATCAATCAACTGGTCAAATATCAATGCTCACTAAAAGTATCACAGATATGAACGTAAAACGAGAGTGTTCCATCGAATATGTGTGTCTCCTGCGGATGACTTATTACAAAGTGTGACAGACAGATGGGCTGACGGACAGACAGACAGGCGATGGAGAAGTGATCCCTAAGTGTCTCCTTGCTATGCAGGCGACACAACTAGGCATCACTATAGCATATCTGGTACCTGATTCTGAGACTAAATGTTTTCTGAAGTGTACAGTCAAATATTTTACAGAAATATTTTGCTAGAAATAATTATAAATGTTCTTCAATGTACATTTATGCACAGTAAATAAGAGGTACATGTATGACACATTTGATTTCAGATATTATCTATGTTAGTCTAAGTTGAAACAAATTCTTTCATGAGCATTTCTTTCTTTATCATGTTTATCCAACCAACTAGAGCTAGAGCAGTACTAACAGGAAAAATGCCCCCCTCTCCCCCCCCCCCCAATGGGGCAACATCACTCACTATCAACAGTACTATATGATGAATTTAATCAGTTACTCAAGCATAAAATGAAGGTCACATGCAGCATCCGCCGCATTCATTTTACACAGCAGTCCTAGACAAACCATGCAAGCAAGTTTGGTTTATATACCACTTGTAATAACGTGGGAACAGACATAAAAGCTGTACTTTACCAAAGTCACTAAAGCATAAAATGTAGGTCACGTGCAGCATCCGAAGCATTCAATGGACACACCATCTACAGACAAACCATCCATACAAGATTGGTTTGTATACCACTTGTCATAAGCAGGAACAGACCTAAACACTGATTCGCTGAACGTATCCAAGTGTTGTCCACAGATAGATAGTCAGATGGACAAACAAACAGGGTGGTTCCTATATCCCCCTTCCAAAAACTTTGATATTAAAATCTTTATTTTGGTTAGAAAATGTATTTTAGTTCACTGCTTTAAGAGCCACATCAGAAATCTGATTCAAATTGTTCATGTTCCCTTCAGCTGTCAAGTCATTTTCTTCATAGTCAGTGTTAGACATCTGCCTTTTCTTTAACGAAAGTCTTTTAAAAAAAACTTGCAATTTGAGATGCTGAGAGAAAATCTCCGTAGTGGAAAATTCGATCACCATTGTCATTTTTTACACTTCTCATCTCTCGTGCTACTTCTTCAGGTTCACATTTGAATCGATATCCTGTTGATTCACATTGGTTTAATTTCTTGGTCATAAAGGATTTTTGAGTTTCAGTAAATCTTTTGATTTCTCTCTCTTTTTAAGAGCTCTTCCTCTCTCCAAAGTGCTCACACCTGAAGAAGCATCTTTTGATCCATTCAAATTTGGACCAGTAAGTCTATTTTCAATTAGGATAGCATACGAATATCTTGAGCGATCCTTTAAGTCCATTCTCTCAACTGAAAAAGTGTGGTTTCCTGTATCTAAGTGGTTACACAAATGGCCGTATCTTAAAAATGTAGATATGCATCCATCCTCTGGACAAGTGAATACATTGCTGCAGTCATCTGCACACGACGATTCCACCATTTCTTGGTTGCTGACATCTATACTTGAAGTTGCTGTTGCATCTTGTTCTTGACATGTGGGTGATGAAGAATCTACGTTTATCTGTGTTTCCATGGGTGGAGATGTTAATGTGACCTCGGATACAGACTTAGGAGTAATTTCAGGGATTACCCAATTTGAATTAATTCCCGCAGTGTCATAATTTATTTTTTTTGCCTTTTCCGATCTCATACTGCTTCCAAGCAATCAAATTTCTGTTGTCATAACTGAAATCAAAAAGCTGACTGATGTTTTGTAATTTCAGCAACACTTTTGGTGGTTTGGAAATTGGTGGCAAAGACACAATAACTTGAACATTTTTCATCTTGTTTTCAAGAGCAGCCTTGAAGTCACTGGCAATCAAGACATTATTTCCTTCATTCACAAATCTTTTTATATACCATTTTATATGAGCGGCTTTTCGATCACAAAATGATTTACCGCCTTGTGGGTCACAGAAATCCATTCAATTTATATTCATATCATTTCTGTTCATAATGTCTGCTCTCAGAAATCTGGAAAGAGGCTAAGTCGATAAATACTGTAAATTTCATTTTGCAGATGATCATGTGCGTCCAGTCAAAACTTTCATGCTTTATCTTAGTATTAAGCTTTTTTTCAACGTCCCAAAAAGAAAGTCGGTGATTTACTGGTGCTTGGTACGACAACATCCCTCTAGCTCACAATACATTGGGAAGTATGATGGCAAAGATATGTGAAGAACGCAGGGTTTTCAAGGAGATACAAATCATTCACTGTGCGAACAGCAGTCAGCATCCTCGGTAAAGCACAGTTTCTCAGCAGACACATCATGATTGTTGTAGAGTGTAAAGTCGAATCAAGCTTCAAAACTTATTCGGGTATTTTTCCAGCTTTACTCTATTAAGTGACAGTGTCGGAGATTAAGTTTAAAAAAATAAGTAACACATGTACCATTTAAACATATAAACATTCATATGTATTATCAACAGGATGTACTGACTCCACCACAGAGAAACTCATATCAGATACCAGGAGTAAAAATCTGCGATGTAACATTCCATCCGCCTTAGGACGCCCCTCCCCCCCCCCCCCTCGTCCCGAGTCGGCAGTAGTGCACCAATGGATCTGTTGATTTTGCGTCGCAAGACTTCGATGATAAATAATTTGACCAGATTCTTTCAAGCATAAATTCTGAAAGTCTCGAGCTTCTTTCAACAAATTTATCTAACAATGAAGAAAATGATTGTGGAAAGCCTCGTGATCAAATCAATTCTAGTACATCAGTTCAAAAAATCACAAGTACATCTAATTCAATGCCATTAATGGCTTTACAAATTATACCAATTTTGGATAGCTTACTATCAACTACAGTGTAACTTCAATCTAAAAAGAAATGAGTATTCAGTGAATTATTCTTTTATTTATGTCTTCTAAGCAAATCTTCTAGTTTTTTTTGTGTTATAACATGTGAAATGTTAACAATTGTTGAAATTTAAGAGAAAAACTTAGTGTGAAAACTTGTAAAATTCTTGATCATTTAATAAAGCAGTTATTGACTTTTGATTTCGGTCTACTCGTGACTTCAGCAATTACTTGACCCCGGCCTTTAACTTCGGACAATTAATACCTGACGAGGTCCGTATAGTCACAAGTAGACTTCATCAAAAGACGGTAAGTCAATAATATATTTTAATATTACATTATATTATATTATATTATATTATATTATATTGTATTTAAGGAAGGAATTTAATAGCTACCCATTTTTTACGGTATAAACTGGGTTCGGGCAGTATACGCTTTATAAACCGCGAAGCAAGGTCATAATTTTCACGCTGAATTGTCTACGGATTTTTCTGTTTCCCAATCATGACTAAGAGCACATGCCGGTTGTGACCTGTCGACAGGGGATGCTTATTCCTCAATGGCACCTGATCCCACCTCTCTTTTCAGAGGTCCCTGTTGACTCTCCTTATAAACTGTATTGGGTATATGGACTTTCGAGAATTTTCGTACTCTTTACGTTTTAATATGCGATATAATATTATAAAAATATTATCATTGAACCTTTAGTAGCGGAAATGGTTTGATATTCAAGAGAAAATTTTAATACTGAACGAGAAGCATATTGATAATCATACCCCATGCAAGGAGTTGATGAGGGTGTATTTTTACACGTTCGTCAGTCAGTCCATCAGTCCTGTTCTTGTCAGTGCAACTCCTTTGAAACATATTTTCATGACACTTTCTTATCAATAAAAACAAAATGTTTAGATATGCTTATATGCATGAGATTCAGATTCAATATATTTTTCTGGAAGTTGTGTCCCTTTCGAACTTAAAAGTTTGTTATATATTATAATATTTATCTATATGAGTGTAACATTCTCGAAAGGGAAGTAAATCAGCCTACAATCAACCAATTATTTTTAAATCATATTAATGTTAAAACAATATTTTCTAGATACATGTACAAAGGCGAAATTCTGCTCCACATGGTCCGGTGGGAATGACATTGCCACAGAAAATCAATTTATTTGTTATCATTCTGATAATTCTACCAATTGTTTTTACTAATTGGATACCAGGACAACACAAGGAAGGACGATTTTCAAATTGCCTTAACATGCGGTACTTTGGCCAATTGAATGACGCATCATGCACTGCCAAATTCAAAGTCATCTGCGAAAAAGCAGTGCAAAATGGAACTCGATATTGTTCCCTGAATTGTTCCCTGAAACAAGAAAAGGATATACAATTTATGAAGTACAAGACAGACGTAAAGAATAATTCCAACATATTGAAATTCTATTCCATAATTCTAGTGTTTTAGCAAAAATCAGTTGTCTTAAACTTACATTTGTCAAGAAAGTTGATCCTAGGTTTTTCAGAGTATCATGTACTCGTGGCTTTTGAAATTTCATTTTTGGGGTAAATATAATTTGTGAACAAAATGTATAAGCTTACATGAAATGTATTTTTAAATAAAAATTATTTACGAGAAATCGTGTACAAAAATGATTTTAATACATTAAAAGAAATAAACTGCATCGATCTTAACGAAAATCCACGAGTTAATCACCTGTGACCTTTGAAAGAGTTATCCCGCACTGCATTACTTATTCAGCAATATGTCCTCAACTTGTCGAAGAAATAGAAAAATCTAGTTTTTCATTACATTCTGAAAAGGTACCTCATATTAGACTCTTTTACACTAAACACCCTTATTCTTCATTATTTCACCCATGTTTTTGATATGAATTTAAAGACTCTCGACCAACAGTCCTTTCTGCCCTCGATTAAAAAATATGAATTTGACAATTCAGATTCTTTCCGACTGCAGAGTATACACTGAACATACATGTGAATATTACTCCAATTTTGTTTGACAAGATCTAACATTACTTCAAAATATATAGTTTTGAACTATAAACTCAAATTAGACTTTTAATTTGGTATCAAAATCCATGCATTTGAAAAATATAATCTACCTTTTACGTATATCACAGCTTTAGGGAAATAAAATATACCTTTAAGTTTAGATATAACACCATTTTACAAACATAAACGTTAATAGAGTGTAATTTTAGGACTTTTCTAGTATAGACAAACAGTTGCAGATACATGATAGGCAAAGCAAAGGCAGTTATGAAAGGAAAATTACTCCTAGAGTCAGAGCATTGAGCATTAACTGTGAACAAAACTTTTTATCGAACAGGATTTGTCCAACAACAATGAAGAAAAAGGAAGTGTGTCTAAGATAAAAAAAAAAAAAACAAAACAAAAAAAAAAAAAAAAAAAAAACAGCATCTTCGCTAGCCAAGGGTTTCCGATCCGAAATCTACTCTACAACCCTTGGCAGATTTAGTCCTATCAAACGGGAACTTTAATTGCGCCGCCTATCGCCGTAATTGAGTTAAGTCCCTTGAAGCTCTTTAATATTTGTCCAATGAAAATAGCTGTAACATACGTAAATCAATATGACGTTTGAAACAATATGGCGACCTACATGCAATTTGATGTGGAATATAACCCAGCAACCTCATACAGCTGTTGGCACACCTCAAAAGTGGTAGAAAATATCGTTCGTCGTGATTTTTTGTCAAGAGTTTGACAACACTTTCTACATAATTCCGTATCAATTATTATCAATAAGCCGTGACATTTGATTGGCTTAAATTGATGCACCTAAAATGCGGAACACGGACTTATGTGGTCCTTTCAATAATTCTTGAAAACGTATATAATCAAAAGAAAAAATTTCAAATTAATTACTCCCTTGTTTTTTTTTAGCATATATCAAGTCCTAACTTTCATCCCTTGTAAATAATACTCTTCTCTTGCATAAAACACGAACAGACTTTAATTCAGCCGAAAATCGTCGATTAGTAAAAACCTTGCGTAGACTGGGACTTCGCAGCCAATCAAATTCGTTTGCACGAGTTCTAAAATTTTCAGCCAAATCTGCCAAGGGTTGTAGAGTAGATTTCGGATCGGAAACCCTTGGCTAGCGAA